CTCAGCCTGTAATCCCCAGCCTTTGGGAGGCTGAGATGGGTGGATCACGAGGTCAGGAGGATCGAGACCATCCTGGCTAACACGGTGAAACCCCTGTCTCTACTAAAAAATGTACAAAAAAAAAATAGCGCTGGCGAGGTGGGCGGGCGCGGTAGTCCCAGCTACTCAGGAGCCTGAGGCAGGAGCATGGCGTGACCTGGAAGGGCGGAGCTTGCAGTGAGCTGAGAGTCCCACTACACTCCAGCCGGACGATACAGAGTGAAGGGACTCCATCTTCAAAAAAACAAAAAAAAAAAAAAAAAAAAAATTTGAACCTCTTGAATCCTGAAACCATTAGAGGGGCAATATGAAAAATTCAAGCACAAGCTCTTCTTGTTTCTGTTGAGACAGGGTCCCTCTGTCACACGCCAGGCTGGAGTACAAGTGGACACGGCAACTCAGCTTACTCAACCTCCTGCACTCCTGGGACTAAGTGATCCTCGCACCTCCAGCTCCCAGGCAGCTAGGACTACAGGTGTGCCCACCACACCAGCTAATGGTTTTTTAATTTTTATTTTTTGCAGAGGAGGCGTGAGTTTTGCTGTGTGCCCAGGCTGGTCGCAAATTTCTTTGGGAACTACAAGCGATCCACCCATTTTGGCCTCCCAAAGTGTAGAAGTTACAGGTGTAGAACCATGGCATCCAGCCAAACTCAATTGCTTTTAAGAGGCAAATTGGATGACTAGAAATGAGATAGCACCTACAGAACATTCTTTAAGGTTTTACCAAGGAGCTTTCCTCTTTGATATCTCTTTAATCAAAACTTGATGCAAAATGATATCACTATTTTCTCATTCACTTAATTCACACTGATAAAACATTAGAGATGGATAATAGTATTAGTGGTTGACTAGGGGTGAAAATGGAGTGGCAAAGGGAGTGGACTACAAAGAGATAGCAAGAAGGTCTTTGTGGGTGATGAAACAGTTCTGTATCTTGGCATGGCAGTGGTTGATGCAAATTTAACATGGTCAAGATTGCACAGACTACACCACGCAGTGTATAAACTGGCAAAATCTGAATAAGGTTTGTGGATTGTAGCAATGTCAATTTTCTTGGTTTTAATATTGTACCAGAGTTACATAGAGTGACTCGCATTTGGGGAAATCACAGGCCTTTTACTATTTTTGCAACTTCTGTAACATCTATAATCATTCTGGGATTCCTTCCTATTTGCAAGGCACCAAGGGTAGGTATTGGGAGCATAAAGAAACATAAGGCCACGGTGTGGTGACTCATGCCTGTTAATTTCCAGACTTTTTAGGAGGCTGAAGTGGGTGGGTCGCTTGAGCCAGGAATTCGAGACCACAGGGCGCATACGGCAATGTGCAAAACCCCGGCCCTGGTCTCTGCAAAAAACAAAAAAAAAGTACAAAAATTAGCTGAGCATGTTGGCGTGGTGCTGTGTCCCCACGCTTACTTTGGCAGGCTGGATGAGAGGATCACTTTGCGTCCCGGGAGGAGGGCTGCATTGTGAGCTGAGAATCGTTCCACTGCACTCCAGCTGGGTGAAGAACCAAGATCTATCAGCAAAAGAGAAACAGAAAGAAACAAAAGGAAAATAACAAAATATTGTAACAGTGCTGAATGTTTCGAATCAATGGTAATATAGTCTATCCCTTCATTATTTTTAATTTCTCTCAGCAATGTTTTATAGTTTTCAGTGTATGTTGTTGTCTATTCTGTTCTTCCATTAGAAATATAAATTCCATCAGTCATCTTTTTTAATGGCAGATTTCAGATTTGTCGTCTCAGTGTAGTTGTGTTCCATAATGAAAACAGTGCAGATTCAGAGTTCAAATCTTGCTACGTTATGTGGCTTTTAGGCAAGTTAATGTCTGAGCCTCAGTTTTCTCATCTATAAAATGACAATACTAAACCTATAGAATGGAATTGTTAGAACTTTTTAAAAAAATTTAAACACCAAGCAATAGTTATGGATAGAACTAAATTTCTTTCAAATGTAGAAAATTTGGCATAGTGTCAAGAACATGTAGTTGTTCAGCATTGTGAGTTTACAGATGAATGGCAAGTAAATGTTAGTGGCCTTCATCCAAAAATGATCCTATCGTGATGCCTGAGAAAAATATCACGTTTCAGTCAGCTTTGCTTTGTATCCAGAATAGTTCATGTTTTTAACCCTTCTTAAAAAGTACCTGTTTAGCCCCTTAATCATATTTAATTACATATTTATAGCTAGTACAGTAGCTCACGCCTGTAGTCCAGCACTTTGGAAGGCCAGGGTGGGCAAATTGCTTGAGCTCAGGAGTTTAAGACCAGTCTGCACAATGGTGAAACCCCGTCCTCTAAATAAATAAAACAATTAGCCAGGCTTGGCGGCCGGCGCCTGTAGTTTCCACAGCTACTCAGGAGGCTGAGGTGGGAGATCACTTGAAGCCAAGAGGTAAAAGTTGCAGTGAGCCAAGATGTGCTTACTGAACTCCAGCCTGGGGTGTCCAGTGAAACCCTGTCTCAAAAAAAAAAAAACCAAGAATTAATTAAATGCACTTTACAATCTAAATACTTTTTAAGTTGTAAACTTCAAAACTAAACAACAGCCAACAAAAAACATATAAGAACTTTGGAACCACACCAGTAAAGAGCATAAAAAGATGACCTTGGGGATTCTAGCACCTTACACTTGACTTCATGACAGTCGGCATCTTTCTCTTTGACAATATTTTGTTAAACTTTCAGCGTGTAACACTTTTAGCTGTGGAAGTGGTATTGATAATCATCCGTTTCTTTCTGTGGGACTTAGTCATTTGCATGCTAGACCCATACTTATTTTAATTCCCATGCATACTCCTCCCTGGGTGTTCTTTGGGACCTATGTACAGTCAGTGCCAGCTGGGTGTTTTTTGTAGCAAGAAGATGGGATTGTGAGTTGTTGTCATTTACAGATAACATCTTAGATCTGATTTTGTTGCTAGCCATGCAGGCAGTGTTCACTCCCGCTGCCATTGAAATGGTAATGATAGTGCTTTAATTTGTAGAGCACTCGAAAACATTCAGATACTTTCACAGACATCTCATTTTGGTTTTCATCCTTACTGCCAAGTGGAGTGCAGATAGTACATTTGTCAGCCCTATTTAATGGGTAAGGGAATCGGCTTAGGAAATTAAGAAGCTTGCTTAAAATCATACTCTAACTTAGTTGCAGAGTCAATTTTGAGCTCTGAACTTGAATTTGCTGCCCTGGGGGACTATCAAATAGCAAGGAGCCTGGTAACTATCTTGCTAACTATATCACCCTGCCTATGATGCCATTGCAAAATCTTGAGATTTAGTCCATTTTTTCCCTACCTCTTAGTCTGTTTTTCTTATCAAGGACTCATTCTGATAGTTTCAGATTTTTCCAACTTTTTTTCTTTTTTTTGAACACAAAGTCTTTTTGTTGCCCAGGCTGGAGTGCCAGTGGCACAATCATGGCTCACTGCAGCCTCAACCTCCTGGGCCCAAGCAGTCCTCCTGCCTCAGCCTCCCTAGTAGCATGCCACCACACTCGGCTAATTTTTTTTTTTTTCGTAGAGATGGAGTCTCCCTATGTTGCCACTGCACCTGGCCAGATTTTTCTAGCTTTTTAAATGAAATATTTTCTCTGAGTCACTGAAGGGTGTGAGTGGAGTTATAGTTAGAATTTTGATCATATGAGAATGTGTAATGAACCTAAAGGATTTCTATGCTTTACATTTAGGAGATTTAGTCCTTTTGTTCTTTCTTTCTTCTTTTTTTGAGACAGTGTCTTGCTCTGTTGCCCAGGCTAGAGTGCAGTGGCATGATCATAGATCACTGCAACCTCCAACTCCTTGGCTCAAGCGGTCCTCCCACCTCAGCCTCTTAAGTAACTAGGACTATAGACACATGTCATTGTGCCTGGCTAATTTTTTAAAGTCACCCAGGCTGCAGTACAGTGGCACAAGCATAGCTCACCACAGCCTCTAATTCCTGGGCTCATGCAATCCCCCCGCCTCATCCTCCCAAGTAGCTGAGAGTACAGGTGTACTCCACTATGCCTGGCTAATTTAAAATATATATATTTATATATTTAGATATGAGGTCTCACTCTGCTGCCCAGGCTGGTCTTGAACTCTTGGGCTAAAGTGATCCTCCCACCTCAACCTACCATGTAGTTGGGATTACAGTTGCAAGCCACTATACCTGGTTATACTTTGTTTTATTTATACTTAGAAAGCAGATGCTAAATATTCTTATGCAAGTTTTGTTGAAGTCTCATATATCTTATTATAATGGCCTTTGACTAACTCTCTTTAACTCTTTTTTTTTTGAGACGGAGTCTCGATCTGTGGCCAAGGCTGGAGTGCAGTGGTGCGATCTCGACTCACTGCAACCTCCGCCTCCCAGGTTCACTCTATTCTCCTGTCGAGTAGCTGGGACTACAGGCACCTGCCACAACGCCCGGCTAATTTTTTCGTGTGTGTTTTTGGTAGAGATGGGATTTCACCATGTTAGCCAGATAGTCTCTATCTCCTGACCTTGTGATCCGCCTGCCTCGGCCTCCCAAAGTGCTGGGATTACAGGCGTGAGCCACTGTGCCCGGCCAACTCTTTTTTTTTTTTTTGGAGCCCGGAGTCTCACTCTGTCACCCAGGCTGGAGTGCAGTGGCATGATCTTGGCTCACTGCAACCTCCGCCCCCCAAGTTCAAGTGATTCTTCTGCCTCAGCCTCCCGAGTAGTTGGGATTACAGGTGTCTGCTACCACGCCTGCCTAATTTTGTATTTTTAGTAGAGAAGGGGTTTCACCATCTTGGCCAGGCAGGCCTTGAACTCCTGACCTCATGATCCACCTGCCTCAGCCTCCCAAAATGCTGGGATTACAGTCATGAGCCACAGGGCCCTGCCAACTCTTTTTAATTTAAGAAGAATTTAACTCTTTAAGTGATCTTCTTAAATTCACCTGGTTTTGTGCAAGGATTACAAGTGATGATTTAGCAGAATTATCATACAGAAGGAGGAGAAGAGAAACTAGAGAGAACAAAATCCAGCCCTGGTTATACCCCTGCCATTGTGTAAATTGCATTGATTGTTCTAAACTTAGTTCCAGATCCTGTGACTTTTTGTTTGTTTGTTTTCCTTGGCTGTGTGAATATGTCAATCATCCATCCATCTTTCCCCCTTAGCCTCAATGCTGGGATTGGTTGCTTAGCAGGTAATAAGATATCTATACTTGGGGTGGGTGCAGTGGCTCATGCCTGTTATCCCAGTACTTTGGGAGGGTCAAGGTGGGGATCACTTGAGACCAGGAGTTTGAGAGTCCACCTGTCCAACGTAATGAAACCCTGTCTCTATTAAAAATACAAAAACAAAAAAAAAAAAAATTAGCCAGACATGGTGTCGCCTACTGGTAAATCCCAGCTACTTGGGAGGCTGAGGCAGGAGAATCACTTGAAACCGGCGAGGTGGAGGTTGCAGTGAGCCGAGAGCAGCAAACTGCACTCCAGCCTGGGCGACAGAGTGAGACTCCGTCAAAAAAAAAAAAAAGAATCCACACGCAGGTGTGTCTGCCCAGGCTTGCTCCTGAGCACTGCGCTGCCTCTCCCTGGCTTGTAGCCATGAGCATTTCAAATCAATTCTCTTCTGATTCCTATGAGGACCTACGCACAGGGAGTGACATTCTTCCGTATTCTCAGTATGTTAATTCTCTGACCCAGACAGATTAATTGATTTTAGGACCAAAACGCTATTAAGTGGCAGCTAGGGGCTTGACACTTTGATTCTGGCTTCCAGTGTACTAAATTTTTTCCTACATGTTGTATCTTTTAGAAAAATGTATGTAGGAAGTTCTGCGATTCGTTTTATATACTACATTAATTTGGTGTTTACTTTATAAAACATGCCAGAGATTTTCTTTTATTGATTTGTGTTGGTTTTTTCCTTCCTATAGAAAAAAGAGCCAGTGGAAGATGATGAGCTGTCCCAGAGAACGTGTTGAATTTCGATGACCTTACTGCAGACACTTTAGCTGTAAGTTAGAGTCCTTTTCTAAGTTAGGATCTCTGCTGTTTTGTCTTGATTTTATTCCTAGACAGCAAGTGCTCACACGCTGCTGCCACACAGCATTGTGACATCCTTTCATTTCTGCTGCTGGGAAATGTCCCCACCCATTCTTGTTATATTCTATATTTGAGTATTTATTAGACAGCGGAGATGGAGACAGATGGAGTGGGAGAGTCAAGGGTAGGAAGAATAGAAAAAGGAAAGGAACTGTGTTTGGTTTATAGCTCCTTTTCTACCCTTTGTTACACAAAGGCAAGAAACTTAACTTACTGTAATACAGAAATATTTAGTGCGCTGGGCAAGAGGAGTAATTTTTGAGTTTTTTAGTCACTGAACCCTTTCTTGAAACCCTTAACATATAGCAAGAACATAAACCAAAAAAGCAAAGTTGCTGTGCTTGAAGGGCTTGGATTGGGGGCCTGAGCCTGGCCTGGCCCTACTGCCCAAACCACTCGCCTCAGAGAAGTTAAGCAGCACAGTTTGAAACAGCTGCAATACAGAATCCAAAAATATGCTTCAGACAAATCTCTTACTCCTAATAAATTTATAATCTTCCTGGAGAACAGTTAAATGCAGCACATCAATAGAGTGGTAAATTGGTTCAGTCAAGAAAATCAGAAACTGCAGATTAAGGGAAAGTTCTCATAAGAGCGGCAGTACTAACATTTCTGCGATGTATGGGAACAATGGGAATGGCCAGAACTATCCATCTCTGCCTCAAGCACCACCAAGGAAAAATGCTGATGGATTTGTAGAGCAAGACTGTGTATATCCGTGTGTGAAATCAATCTCAGTTCTTAAAAGTCTTCGTTTCCAGTTTTTAAAATGCTATCGCAAGGGCTCTCCTTAGAGCACAACAGTGTTAGGGTAACCTGATCTTATTCCTGTGCTGTGCTTGCCTCGCTGTCCTGCTAATGGGCCTGGCCTGTTCATCTACAGAACCTGAAAATCTCACAAATCAAGTCCGACTCCTCATTGACAAAGCCATCCTGAAGTGTGACGCGGAGCGGATAAAGCTGGAAGCAGAGCGATTTGAGAAACTTCGAGAGATTGTGAACCTTCTGCACCCTTCTGTGCCCATCAGTAACGAGATGAGGCAGGTGGCTGTGCTGCAGCAGGAGGTGGCCTTAGGTGGCTGCTGTCTCTGCAGGGGCGGGGACGGGAGGAGATCTGTGGAACACTGGCACTCTCTGTCAGAAGCAGGTTCTTTGTATATTCCCTCTGTCCACCAATTGAGAATTGCAGGAGTCAGATCCTTGTCTGATTGGGAAGTAGCAGAGATAGCAGGTAGGAGGAGACTCCTGGCACAGAAATCTCTTCTAAATAGGGCTGCTGTCCTCCACTGCAGTTGCCCGTGGTAGCAGGCGTCTTGTAGGAGGGATCTGCTAAATCAACCTAACCCCCTCACCCACACCCCGCTGAGAAGCTGCGGGTCGAAGGGAAATCTGCATGATAAAGGTTTCCTGCTGAGCGGGAGCTTTTCCTGCACAAAGCTGCTCTGAGCCCAGCCTTTGTTCCCTGACACCCCAGCCGGAGCAGGGCCCATCTGTGCCTCTTTCATTCATTCCCTGATGAACATTAAACTCACTGCAGGCTGGGGTGTGCAGGAGGCTGCAGAGCACAGACCATGAACAGACTCAGGAGGTCAGGGCCCCGAGTCCGCCCTCATGTGGCCCTGGGACCAATGAGAGCCTGGAAAAAAAAAAAATCTACATTCTCCTCCGCACTCCAGGCAATGTCGATTGTCTGGGAAGAGTTGTCCTTGTGCAGGATTTGAGAGGTCATTTAAAAGGGTAAAAAACAAAAAACAACAACAACAACAACAAAAAGAGGCAATACTGTAGACCTCTTGGAAAATCATCATTCCCAGTTTCATGGCTAGAATTACTTCTCAAACTTTGTAAGTTATTACTTCTCCATTGAGTAGCAACATGCCTTCTCTAGTTATGAGACACAGTAGTGTTTAAGTTAAGCAATGACGTCACAAAGCGAAGTTGTTCATGGAATAAAGTTTGGAAAGATGGAGGTTGTAGAATTAAGAAATCGTATATCAAGCTTGGCGCGGTGGCTCACGTCTGTAATCCCAGCACTTTGGAAGGCCTAGGCAGGAGGATCACTTGAGCCCAGGAATTGGAGACCAGACTGGGCAACATGACACAACCCAGTCTCTACAAAAAAATACAAAATTAGCCGAGCATAGTGTCGCGTCTGTAGTCCCAGCTAAGGCTGAGGTGGGAGGATCACTGGAGCCTGGAAGGTTGAGGTTGCAGTGAGCCAAGATTGTGCCACTGCACTCCAGCCTGGATGACAGAGTAGTAAGACCCTGTCTCAAAAAAAAAATAGTAATAATAATTTAATTTAGCCGGGCGCGGTGGCTCAAGCCTGTAATCCCAGCACTTTGGGAGGCTGAGACGGGCGGATCACGAGGTCAGGAGATCGAGACCATTCTGGCTAACACGGTGAAACCCCGTCTCTACTAAAAAATACAAAAAACTAGCTGGGCGTGGTGGCTGGTGCCTGTAGTCCCAGCTACTTGGGAGGCTGAGGCAGGAGAATGGCGTAAACCCGGGAGGCGGAGCTTGCAGTGAGCTGAGATCCGGCCACTGCACTCCAGTCTGGGTGACAGAGCGAGCCTCCATCTCAAAAAATAATAATAATAATAATAATTTAAGAATAAAAAAATAAAATCACATGTCATGTATCTTTCTTTCTTGCTCTGTTTCCTTAGGATGCGGACAACAAAGTAGAGAGGATTTGGGGTGATTGTACGGTCAGGAAGAAGTACTCTCATGTGGACCTGGTGGTGATGGTAGATGGCTTTGAAGGCGAAAAGGGGGCCATGGTGGCTGGGAGTCAAGGGTATTTCTTGAAGGTAAGAGCTGGGAACCAGTGAGGATAGGATTATAAAGAAGAAACAAATTTTTTTTTTTTTTTTGGCAGAGAAACATAACCTACTTAAAGAGGCCCCCAAATCTACCAGTTCTACTCGCCTTTCTGCAAATGTTTTGGCAATTAGATGCAATTCTCTTTCTAAAGCAAGAGAGGGCTTATCAGGATTCCATAGAACAAAAGCCACTAAGTGGTCCTCCATAATGAATGTATGTTTTGCTGACTGAATCAGAACAGTCTCTGCCTTTAAGTAGCTCAGTATAATTGGTGATAGTCAGACAAGTAACAAAGAATCAAATCCACTGTCAGAAGTACTGTGGTTTGTGTAGGCCCAAAGTGCTTGAGAACATCAAGAGATTCTCTTAACTGTGTGTCTGGATAGTTCGCTGTTCAGTGTTCAGAATGAATCTCAAGGTTCAGAAGGTCAGTTGCTGTGATCTGTGGTCTTTTTTTGTGCCTGTGTGCCCCTGGGTAGTCCTGTTCTGTCGGCCCAGGTGCCTTTGGGTGTCAGTGCTAGCTGAGCATGACAGTGACAAGACCCAGTCACACAGTTTCTGTATCTCTGCTCCTCTAGGGGGTCCTGGTGTTCCTGGGAACAGGCTCTCATCCAGTATGCCCTTCGCACCCTTGGGAAGTCGGGGCTACACTCCCATTATTACCCCCTTTTTCATGAGGAAGGAGGTCATGCAGGAGGTGGCACAGCTCAGCCAGTTTGATGAAGAACTTTTATAAGGTGAGTAGCCTGGGTCAGGTGGCAGAATGACTTAAGTTATGTAGCTTAACCTTCAGTGATGCAGAGTGGTGCTGTCCAATAGGACTTTCTGCGATGATGGAAACGTTCTATATCTGTGACTCTTGAGGACTTAAAGTGTGGGTGGTACAACGGAGGAGGAACATTTTATATTTTAATTAATTTTAACTTAAACACGTACTAATGTACTACCATATTAGACAGTGCACGTGCAGAGCCTCTTTTACCTTTCCCTGGTAATCTGTTATGATGATCTAAATCAAGTACACTTCAACACCATGAGCTTAGAAAAGAGCCCATTCCTGGGTGCTGGACAAAAAGAAATTACAGAAGTGGCACTGATCTCCTAGCCCGCTTCCGTGTCCTCCCACTCCTAACCCCAGACTGGAAGCTTCCACAGGGTGGGACATACTTGCCTTGGGATGGAGGTGGCTTCCAGTTGTGGCTCCTTCTCAACCATGGACGCTGTCAGGGAGAGCCAGACAATTCAAGTCAAGGTTCAGAAGGTCATTCTGATCAACTGGCTTCTAACACCATAAACAGCACCCCACTCTGTGTTCGGCACTCAAGATTTCTAGAGCGTCTCTGCTAACAGCTGTCCAATGCAGCAGTATCTACTATTCGTTGCTCCTCCCTTTCAACTCTTCTGTCAGAAATAGGGACTTAGTTCCTACTGGGCTTATTTCCTCTCCAGACAGGGGAGGTAGAGTTAGACAACTGCTGTTGGACCCATCTAATTATGTTACAGGGAGATAGTTCCAGTAATTAGAACAATCTTTCCATGTTTCTGCTGATGAGGTAAAAGTTAAGTCTTTCATTCAAGACGCACTGGGAACAAAGTGTTCTCCCTAAACCCTGAGCATTAGTATAACCTTGATCTCCTCCCTCTTCTGCTTTCTTTTAACAAAGGGTGGAATGTGTTCCTTTACTGGCTAAACCTGTTTTACCTTTTCTTTCTTTCTTTAATTTTCAACGCCGTAATATTAGATAATCATTAAAGAACATTAGAAAGTACCACTGCAGGTAATCACACTAGGGAGAACCTGATGTGATTTATGGAAATTGTTAGGTAGCCGGCTGCTCCTGAGTACTGCGTTCTCCATCTCTTATTCCAGACGCGGTTCTTGGACCCAGCGGGGCAGGAAGAATCACAGGTTTCAATGTGGTAAGAATTTTGCTGGTACTTCTGTCGATTACAAAACCTCCGTTCTGGGAGAATGATATAGTACTGGCCAAACAGAACTTTCTGCACTGATGGAAATGCTCTGGGTCTGCATGAGGCAGCGATGGCAGCCATGAGCCATGTGTGACTCGAGAGCACTTGAAATGTGGGCTGATGCAACAGGGAACTACATTTAATTTAATTTAATTTGTTTTTATTTTTTATATTTTAAATTGATATTTCCTCTATAGAGGACAGGGTCTCACCTATAGTTGCCCAAAACTGAGTTTTTGTTTCCAAGCTCCTGGGCTCAAGCAATTGCCAGCGGCGCTCAGGCCTTCCAATAGGTGTTGGGGATATAGGGTGGAGCCAACTATGCCGCTGCCGCATTGTGATTGGAAATAGTCGTATGTGGCTGGCTATACCATATTAGGCTGACAAGCCCTTGAGTTCCTATGTTTGTTGTGAATGGCTCCCCACAGTGTACATTCCTACTGCAGGTACGCGAGGTGTAGTTTCCAGGCTCTAAACACTGACCCAGAGGAACTTTCTTCCTTTTTTTTTTTTAATTAAAAATACTGCTCATAACAGAAATTTAGGAAATGGCAGAGGAATGGTACGCTCTTTCCATTCCTAAGGACCTAATATAACACTTGGTCATTTTAAAATATTCACTGTTTGGGATTTTTTTTCAGATATATGTTTGTTTTCACCATTCACTTATTAATTTGCCATGGTACATGAAGTTGACCTTTACTTAGCATGTATTTGTTTATTTTTATTTTTATTTATGTATTTATTTTTTTTTGAGGACAGAGGTTCTCACTCTGTTGCCGGCTGGAGTGCAGTGGCACGATCTTGACTCCACTGGCAACCTCGTGCCTCCTGGGTTCCAAGGGTGATTCTGGTGCTGCCACAGTAGCTGGTGTTACAGGGCGTCGCCACCATATCTGGCTGATTTTTTTTTTTTTTTTTGAGATGGTGTCTCATTCTTTCACCCAGGTTACAGTGAGTGGCAAATCTCCATCCACAGTTTTCAAGCGCTTATACTGCCTCACCCGTCCTAAGGTGTGGGGAACTACAGCATCCACACCCATGGCCCGCTAATTTTTTTTTTGGTATTTTGGAGTAGAGACGGGGGTTTTCACCATCGGTGGCAAGGGCTGGTCTTCCAGCTCTGGACCTCAGGTGACACCCTGCTCGGACCCAAAGTGCTTGGGATTTACAGGGCATGAGCCATCGGCGGCCTGGCCAACCTGGCTATTTTGTATTTTTTAGTAGGGAAGATGGGTTTCACCCAAGTTGGGGCAGGCGGTCTTTAAACTCCTGACTCAGGGTGATCTGCCTGCCTAGGCCTCCCAAAGTGCTGGGATTATAGGCATGAGCCACCGTGCCCGGCGGCCTTTTTATGTAGCATTATATCAAAAGTATTTTTCTGTGTTACTGCATGGTCTTCATTTTTATGATTGTATAATATTACATAAATAATGTTACAGTGAACTTTGTCCTGTCTGAACTTTTTTTTTTTTGCATTATTTTCTTTAACTGAACAGCAAAATACATTCTTTAAGGATCATAACCACTAACCTATAAGCACCAAGAAAGCAGAGACTGATGTCCTTTTTTGCTCCACATCGGTGTTTAGTAAACGCCTCACAAGGATTAATTTATGTGGCTACCAGCACAGGTTTATTGCATACCTGCCAGCATTGACCATTATTCATCATGGATGAGTTTTCTTTATTATATAAGTTGAAAATAGCCGGGCACGGTGGCTCACGCCTGTAATCCCAGCACTTTGGGGGGCTGAGGCAGGTGGATCACCTGAGGTCAGGAGTACCAGATCAGCTTGGCCAACATGGTGAAACCTTGTCTCTACTAACAGTACAAAAATTAGCCAAGCATGGTGGCACGTGCCTGTAATCCCAGCTACTCAGGAGGCTGAGGCGGGAGAATCGCTTGAACCTGGGAGGTGGAGGTTGCAGTGAGCTGAGATTGTGCCACTGCACTCCAGTCTGGGCAACAGAGTGAGACTCTGTCTCAAAAGAAAAAAAAAAGATAAGTGGAAAATATTCTTTCCTCTTAATTTACATTTCTTTGATCTCTGTCCGGGACCCCAAGGTGGACTGAGCCTTCCCTTTATCTTTTTAGTATTCTCTGCCCACTCCCAGGCAGGGGTTAAAGGAAATTTTTCCTGCACTATCACTGATATCGTTCTTGTGGTTTCTTTTTCTAGCCAAGGTCCTCCCCGCTTCCTCTTAACTGGTATGGCTCCTTCCTTCCACAGGTGATTGGCAAAGGCAGTGAAAAGTCTGATGACAACTCCTATGATGAGAAGTACCTGATTGCCACCTCAGAGCAGCCCATCGCTGCCCTGCACCGGGATGAGTGGCTCCGGCCGGAGGACCTGCCCATCAAGTATGCTGGCCTGTCTACCTGCTTCCGTCAGGAGGTGGGCTCCCATGGCCGTGACACCTGTGGCATCTTCCGAGTCCATCAGTTTGAGAAGGTGAGTAGATGGGTCAGGGTAAGGAGTGGACCTTTCTCTCTCTCCAGAAGCGTTAGACGAGAGATGGGATCTGTGTTGCTGAGGCCCATCCTGGCTCCAGCTTTTCCTCTCATTGCTTACCTCTGTGTTTCTGGGGAAGTGCGTGCTGGAGTGGCGGGGAGTATCCACCTTGAAACCAGGCTGCGGCTTTGCCACTCACCAGCTGTGTAACATTGGGCAAAATACATAAGCCCCCAGTGCTCCATTTCTGCCTTTGTACGAAGAGGATAACAGTAATGGTGCCTGCCTCACCAGGCCTATTGTGGCCTGTTGTGAGGATGATCCCAGTCAATATATATAAAGCACTCAGAACAGGGCTGGCATGCATATGGGAAGCTCGCGCCATAAGCATTTGCTCTCGTGGTCCAGTCCCAGTTGCTGGGGGCCCGGCCTCGTCTGCCTCCCAGTGGTGTGGAAACGGGTCTTCATGGCAAGGATGTCTCCCTCTTCAGTCCTTTATTCACCCTATACCACTGTCACCATCTCCTTGGGTCCCTCTCTGCAGATTGAACAGTTTGTGTACTCATCACCACATGACAACAAGTCGTGGGAGATGTTTGAAGAGATGATTACCACCGCGGAGGAATTCTACCAGTCCCTGGGCATTCCTTACCACATCGTGAATATTGTCTCAGGCATGGGACCCAGCCTCTTCCCAGCCTCCCTTTCCTGCATCCCACAGACACCACCCTCACCAGCTGAGCTGCCACACAGAGAAACAGATCACAAGTTGAGTCATTGCCCACATTAATTAAAATATTACCCTCTTCTCACTGGGGAGTATTTGGTGTTAAGAATATCTGGATATGGCCGGGCGCGGTGACTCATGCCTGTAATCCCAGCACTTTGGGAGACCGAGACGGGCGGATCACGAGGTCAGGAGATCGAGACCATCCTGGCTAACACGGTGAAACCCCGTCTCTACTAAAAATACAAAAAACTAGCCGGGCGAGGTGGCGGGCGCCTGTAGTCCCAGCTACTTGGGAGGCTGAGGCAGGAGAATGGCGAGAACCCAGGAGGCGGAGCTTGCAGTGAGCCAAGATCACGCCACCGCACTCCAGCCTGGGCGACTGAGCAAGACTCCGTCTCAAAAAAAAAAAAAAAGAATATCTGGATGTGATTTCACCTCTGGAGACAGGACGTGAATTAAAGAATTCTCCAGGCTTGCTAAAGGTTAGCCTTCTGAAATACCATCCCTCCTTCATGAGTTCTAGGGGTTTTTCCTTACAGGTTCTTTGAATCATGCTGCCAGTAAGAAGCTTGACCTGGAGGCCTGGTTTCCGGGCTCAGGAGCCTTCCGTGAGTTGGTCTCCTGTTCTAATTGCACGGATTACCAGGCTCGCCGGCTTCGAATCCGATATGGGCAAACCAAGAAGATGATGGACAAGGTAGATGGCCCCCAGGGAGGTGGGAAGCAGAACCTTCAGTACACGGCCCATCCATCTTATTTCTCAGCCTTTGGGGTGCACTGGTCCCCAGCATCATGGGAAAATCTGAGCTTCTCAATCTAGACCAAAAAGGGAATCTGAAAATGCCTTCTTCTGAGTCAGGACTGAGTTCTTTTAGCTAGAAACCTGAATCTAGCTCTCTTCTATAAGGTAATTCTAGCTTTTCTCTTTCTGGCTTTGTTTTTCTTACTCTCTACCCAGGCCAGTTTGTCCATACAAGCTGTCTTTCCTAGGGCCAGGTTCCTTACACCAGTCCCACACGGGCAGGAGGAAGGCTGGCAGGGGAAGCTGGCTGCCCAGGCAGGGGGCCTCTCTGCACAAGGCAGGCTGGGAGTCCCAGGCCAAGGGCCAGCCTCCAGAGGTAAGTTCAGCTGGTCCCCAGGGGACTCAAGAGCCCCCAGTTTTCTGCCCTTCCGGCCACAGGAGCTCTCAGGGGCCGTGGAGAAAAGAGAGCCCTCTCCCATGGGTAGGAAGGGTCACAGCACCAGGGCCAGAAGCAGGTAGGCGTGGGAGTGAGGAGCAGGCAGCTGTAGGGACCTGTCGCTAAGCAGGGCAAGGGGCATTCAGGGCCCTGTGAGAGTTTCCCCAGTGGGGACTTGTCTGGAGATGGTAGTAGGGGCTTGGGGCAAAACTGGGCCTCCTTGGCTCACTGTGTTAAAGCTGCCTTTTCTTCAAACCAAATAGTTGACGGGGCCCACAAGGAATGTGTAGAGTTTTCTGGTCCTTCTGAATTACGAAATAGGACCAGGCTGCTTTGTTCCCTTGTCCTGGCTTTGTTATC